CTCCTGGTTTCTTGTTTGATTTCCCCCCCGTCCCCAGCTCAGTATCACTACAAAGATTTGTTAAAATCACACTTCTGGTCTGGTCGGTGGTGCTGGGCAGATGAGTTCCTCTGTAAGCTGTGGTTACTCCTTGCCACTGCCCCATCGCAGCAACGGCGCTTCCTGCCACTGCCCTGCAGCACCTCTCATTTCTATGGAAACTTAAGCATCTTTGAAACCTCAGGGAGGGGTAAGAATTGGCCAGAGGGCTCAAAACTTAGTGGGGTGATGACTTGTCAGATGGCTGTTCATCCGCTGAAGAGTAGGAGATTCCACAAGCAGGGCAAACCGCATGATTTCTCCTTGGTTTTAAGACCGGCTCCGGGCAGAGGGAATACTGACAGGAGTGGCAGCCTCCTCTGGAGGTGGCTCTGTTCCCGCTTATATTCTTGCGTAGCACCAGTTGCTGTAAGATACCTGTATATCAACATCCACGGTGCAGCTGCTGTACCTTGTTGTGCTTTACCTTGGGGCTGTGAAGAAAAGTCCGAGAAAATTGGCTTTGTTGGAGTTGTAATTTGGCTTCCTAATAGGAATCTTAAAAAAATAATAATAATAATTAAAAAAATAGGTTAGTTGCACTGAAATTTTCTTGAAAGACAAAGCACATGCGGGATACGATGAGCGGTTTGCTGTGGCTGGTGGCTCTGCCTTCCCAGGAGCGTGGAGCGATCTGCTTGTTCCCACAGCGACTCTCATAATTAGCACTTGTGCTGCAGCGGGCTGAGCCGCTGTAGTCGTTACAAGTATGCTTTGTACTCTGCGCTTGCCTTTCTGCTGGAGAGCATGCTGACGGAGAAGGGAAAGATGCTTTTCTTGCCTCTCTTATAATTTGTCCACTTAAATTACCATCAGTAAGCATATGGCAACTTAAGCAGGCTGCCACGGGGTAAATTGGTATGGATTTACACTGTGCTAGCTTTTGTGATAATTGTGCCTGTACATGTTCTATCCATAAAAAGTATGAAGTAGCTTATATCTGTTTACACTGACAGTTAATTACTGCTTAGGTGGAACGGGTAGAGCATAGCCACAGATGCTTACAACAGAGTAGCTAATGCTGTAATTCATAATGCTGTCTGCACCACGGTGACTTGCCTGTGCACCCATTAATCCTAACGGCCAGAATAACTTAACCTTGAGGCTGGTTGTGATACGGGAAGCAGGTGATGTAGTCGGTGAGAAAGATCCTCGTGTGTTAACACAGGAGGCTGCTCTTGTTGGAAACCAAAGGAAAGGTGGCCTTCCTAGTGATTTCAGTTCCAAAGCTTTTAGGTTTTTTCCTCAAAAGATTGGGGGTACTGGGTAGACAGGTAATTTGCATCTAGAGTTTGTAACACCATCCTAAGGCATTAGTAGTAGTAGTTCCCCAACAGCTGTTGTCGGGCATTTGGCGGCAGTCCATGCCATGTCTCCTGCACGTGCCTGTGACATTGTTTGTGCTGTTTTCCAATGAATCAGACTGGAAAAGCTGAAAAGTCACTTAGCGATGCCATGAAACATTCAGCCATATGTATTCCCCTTGTGCAGTTCAGATGAACTGGTGGTGGTGTGGCACCTTCTGTATGCCAGCGCCGAACAGGACGGGCATTTCGGCTGCAGAAAGCTCCGGTGCATCCTGGTCCGAAACCTACCGGATTTAACACAGCATCTCCATGGTAGACGCAGGGTCAGACTGTACTGTAGTGGTCTTCAGCCTTTGTGCACTCCAATAGTAAGGGTTTAATTGAATTTGATTGTCTTGTGCTACTGTGATTATGCTCTCCACGGCATAAATCCTGTTTTCCTGAGCTGCCGCTTCTACAGAGAGTACGAAGCACGTCTAGAGAGGTACAGCGAACGCATATGGACGTGCAAAAGCACTGGAAGCAGCCAGCTGACGCACAAAGAGGCTTGGGAGGAGGAGCAGGAAGTTGCTGAGCTGTAAGTACCAGTGGAGAAATTGGTATGTGTCTGTCTGTAGGCATTGGGGCAGAAGAGTGGACTTGGGAATGATATGTGATTGCTAGTTTATGAGGTGAGATAAGTAGCTTTTTACTGGCTGTGAGTAGATCTGGGGATTCTGGAGTTGAAAGCAAATTAAGTCCAAATTTGATGCCATCACTAATGCAGTTGAGTAATGTACTTATTTAGTGCTGTATCTTGGTATTACTTGAACCAAAATAGTTCAGCATATGGTACTTGGCATATTTTAAAGCCCCTTGAGTAATGGGAATTTTTCAGAGGGGAAAAAAATAAATCTTGAAGGAGCTAAAGTAAAAATACAGTAGAAAGAGGCCGTTGAAGTGTTTCACATCAGCCAGGTCCACAGCTGTAATTATTTTTTTTCCAGATATGCGTTGGAATCAGTTGTTGTACTAAATAAAAAAATTATTTTGGAGTGAGATTTTGGGGAATCTGCTCTACTTGAAACAATAAAGAACAAAGGGAAACCAGCAAGAGTCATTACTCGGTTTAGACCACCAGTGTTCTTCCAGGCTGCCGTGTCCCTGACCTCCCCCTCTAGCACACAGCACAGGCCCCGAATCCTTGGTTGAGATCCAGCATCACCCTTGCTATAGAAGGGAATTTTCTGTAAAGGTGCGAGTCCTTGGCTCAACCAACATATATAACTTACTTCGTGATTACCAAATTGTAGGAATTATGCCAAACAAATGGCATGTTTCTCTGTTCTGTGAACTGATGGCTTGGACTTCTGTGACTTTTTTTCCTGGATTTAAACTGGGAAGATTGTCAGCAGTACTACATAAGGGGTGAAGTTTTCTGCTGCCTCTCTTCAATAAAGAATCCACGTTTCTGATTCATTGGCAGAAGTGTTAATAGCCTTAGCCTAAGGAGAAATTCCCCATCGTTTGAGGTTAATCACATCCTTAATCGCATCCTTAAAGGCAACAAATAAGAAACGTATTTGCTAATGGTCCTAATTTCTGTGAGGATTGAAGTACTGTCTTCAGTCTTTCCTCCCTAGTGTTCTTGTTGGAGAGGAGGGTGCTGGGCCAGCTCCATAAACTTAGAATCCTGAGTCAAAAAACGCTGGTCTAGTGTTGCTTACTTTTGGTTGGCCACTTCTGAAAACATTAAGAAATGAAAATGAAATATAAGTGGAAGATTTCTCAATAACAAATTTAGCTATAGTCTCTCTAAATGTGGGGAAAAAAGGCTGTGAAATGAGATTTTGGTCTTGTCTCTTTGAAACGGGATTAAAAGCTTCCCAGGCAGTTTGCTGGCTGCTTTAATACCTGACACTAGTCTGAATAAAAAAAGTTCATTTAGGGAGTTTGCTAAAGGGATCATTTTGTTCATGGCAGTTGTAGAACAGCAAATATAGCTGAGGGATGTCAGCAATGGATCCCTGAGTCTGGGAAGCTGAAAGGGTTTTGGAAAAATGGAGTATTTTGTTCCTCCTTACAGTAACTCAAAACGGACTTTCCTTTTTAGCCAGAAAGCTTTATGCAATATATTTCTTAGTACTCCTATCAGCTAACTGACCTGATCTTTTAGAAAGGAAATCAAGTCAAGTAAATTTGTAACAGTCCTTTCTCTCTGAATGAAAGTTTGAAGATCATGACATGGTGAAACACACAAAATATTTTTTTCTGGAAAGGTAATTTGATTGTGTCAGCCTGCCTCTATCTTCTTTACTGTGTTAGCAGTCTGTTTGGGAAGAAAGAAATGCTAAGTGTTCATCAGCATCGTGTTATTGTTGGAAGCAAAAATTTTAAAGAAACAAGCCCCAGAATAATGACATGATCTTGGTATATATTTAACGCTTAATAGAGAGGCAGTAATAACCAGCAAGAAAGGGTTCACCGTCAGCGCTGCTCTTCCAGAATGTTTTATGGTGTTCCTTCCGGGAAGGACAAGTACAATTTGTATTGTCATGCCAATTAACACTTTGGGGGGGTGCTGGAGGGAGGGCAGCAAAAAGCCCTTGGATGTTTGCATGCTAATGTGGCATCTGCCCCAAACATTGTCCTGGCTGTTAACGTTCCCGGAATTGCGAAATGGGAGGCTACTTTGCATTTTGGCTTTTATTCCCTGAATAATGAGAACTTATGTGCTTGCTCAGCTTGAAGGAGGAGTTCCCCATCTGGTATGAGAAACTGGTACTGGAAATAGTCCACCACAACACTGTATCTTTGGAAAAGTTGGTGGATGCAGCTTGGCTGGAGATCATGACCAAATTTGCGGTGGGAGAAGAGTGTGACTTTGAGGTAAGAATAAAATTTTCCATTTTGTCCCATGCTTTTGCACAGAGCTAATTTTGGATACCTAAAGGCAGGAGATGGGAAGAATATGTTAGCCACTTACATTGTCAGAAAGATGGTGAGAATTTCTTTTCTATAGAATCCCAGTGACAGCATCTGCTTTTGAATGCAAAATGGTTCCATAAGCAGAAGCACGTGGATGACCCATACTGATGGCAAGAGAAAAATGACTGATCTATGTGTGTGCATGGGAAAGCAGAGATAGATCTGTTATGCTGCTTAAATATGTGATGGTCTGTGTATATATTTAAATATATATAAAAGTACATATTTTAATTATGTATAATGTGCTGTAATCTTTCAACCTAACATGTTCCCAGGAGTAGTAGTCTTAAACTAATGCAGCTTGAAGGCAACTGCTTACAAATCTCTAACAATGCTCTAATGATTAGAAAATGCCCTCCAAAACTGGGAATGATGGGGAAAACTCAAACTTGTTAAAAATAAGGGAAAGTTATAAAATGTTCTCTGTTAGGAATCTGTTTAGGACATAGTCTCTCAACTGGGGCTGTTGAGAGAGCATGCTTGCACCTTGCACGCACACTCTTCCCTTAGGCTGAGAAAGCAGCATTATTAAACACTGGAAAAACTTGTGGGTTGGCAGTTCTCTCTTTCTTAGCATTTTGTACAGAACTTCCAGGTAGGAGTAGTAGAAAGAAATCCTGTAATTGTTTCATGAGAGGGATCATGAGCTTCTCTCAAGGAGGATGTCAATTAAGTGTTTTGCTTTTTGTCCTTCCTCGTAGCGTTAAAGCTCATTAGTTCATGTGTCTTGCTCAGGTTCAGTTTTCATCAATATTTCCGTGCAGGTTGGTAAGGAGAAAATATTGCCTGTGAAAGTTGTGAAAATACATCCCCTGGAGAAAGTTGATAAAGAGGCCTCGGAAAAGAAATCTGACGGAGCCTGTGATTCCCCATCCAGCGACAAGGAGAACTCCAGCCAGGCAGCCCAGGACAACCAGAAGGAAGCTATCCTGAAGGAGGATGACAACAGGAGGGAAAGTATGAGTAAGTAGTAAGACAGCATGCCAGTAGGTAGCACCTGGAAGTGAGTATTTGAATTTATGTACGTCTCGGGCCTGGGCTGTGAATGTTGTACGCGATGTTTAAACAGTGTTATGTAACGAATACCCTGAAATGGTCACTGTTAGTGGTGCACCTTGGGTAGCATCAGCGCTGTTGGCTTTCAACTGTTCTTGCCTGTTTTAAAGCAGAAAATGTGCTGTCATTCTAAGTGTAGTAACGAAAGCTATGCATGAAACGTATAAGCTTCAAAAATATAAGAAGTGTATTTTAAAAAAAAAAAGGGGGGGGGAACAGCAAAGGTTCATGCAGAATCGTAAAGTTCTGCTGTGATGTTCATCCTCAGAACAAACATCTCTAGTTCTAAAGCCTGGTGTTGTGCAGTCAGAGACAAGCTCTAATTCTCTTTCATGTCCCCAGTTGACATAGAAAAATAAGTTGGTTTTTTTTTTATTTTGGTTTATCTCCTTTCCAGTTTTCAAATGCTGAGACAAAATTCATGCAGGAAAAATGCATATTAATTTTTTTTTTCTAAGAATTCAAAATAAAGCATGCTTTGAAACATTGTTCCCCTCTTCCATATCTGTTCCTCCTTGCTGCAGAACTAAACAGTGGATGTCCAAGGCTTTTCTTGACTCTGAGAAGGTACTGTTGAAAGAGGAAAAAAAAAAAAAATTTAGTTTTATGTCCTGTGTAACTTCTTAAAAATGGAATTATAAGATTCTTTAAAAGAGATTTCAAAAAGTGTTTTAAAACAAACAAACAAAAAAACCAACCCCAGACCATAGCTCTAATCTGGATAGCTTAATTTTAAAAGCACATAAATGTAATAAACTGTTTACTTTTGTAAATAGCCACCTCTACATCTGGGGAAGGTGTATGTAACCTCCTCTAATGCGGAGAAGAGGAAACTGAAAACAGCTCAGCAAGCTAATAGCAAAGTCAGGAGTGGAAAACAAGTTCTACCAAGCTCTAGTCCCAAGCTTAATAATAGCCAAATGTTTCTGATTGGTACTGGAAAAAGTTATGAGCTGTTTTGATTTCACTGCAGTGTTCTGTAGAACCAGGAAGGAAAAAAAAGTGTTGCAGAAACGATCCGGCCTTATACTCATCCCTTGAAACAGTAATAGTGCTTGGAGGGGGACTAATGCCTGTTTGAGTGGTTGGTTTTGGTTTTTTTTAATTGAGTGGTAGTTCTCTCAAACTACCTCATAAAAGGCGTGGGAAGTACCTTTTACTTCAAAAATGCTCATGAACCAAGTTCACAGCAGCATTTTTGGGTGTTTAGTAAAGTCTACCA